ACCGCCTCGCCGAACCTCCTGCAGGCCGGGGTGGGGGAGGGTGCTCTGCCCCCACCAACCTTTCTGAGAGCAGTCCGGGGTGGACCCTCGGGGCCACGGGGGCTCCTCGTCAGTATCTGACCACAAGAGACCCACCGTTCCTGGTGACCCTCCAGAACAAAGCAGCCCCGCCTCCTCTTTCTCCGAGGGAGCGGCTGGTGAGTGTGAACTGCCCACGTGCAGCTACAAGCCCAATGTTTAAAGTCACCATGTCACCAATGAAGGAGCTCTTCTTCAAAAGAGAGGTGCCCTGGTGTCGTGGTGGGTGAGGCTAAGGTGCTGATCGGAAGGCTGGCAGTTCAAACCCACCTGCTGCTCCGTGAACACACAGGGTCGTGGGCAGCAGGGAAGGGGGCTGAAGTCTTTCTGCCAGGATGCTAACAGAGGCCTGGTGGCACGGTGGGTTACGCACGAGGTCGGCAGTTCAGACCCACCAGCCGCTCCTCCGGAGAGAGAGGAGGCTGCCCGCTCCCCCTGGAACCCCGAGGGCGTGGCTCTACTCTGTCCCATCGGGTCCCCCCTGCGAGTCGAGTCAGACGGGACTCGAGGGCTGAGTCTGCATCGCTGGCTGGGATCCTCCACACCTGTGCTTTATCGTGGAAAGGTAAAGTTAAGAGGAGGGGTGAGGGGGTGGAGGGGGATCACATGATGACTGCCGTGGATTGGCCCAGGAAGGCTTTTTTTTCTCAAGACAAAACTGTGTGGGATGAGGCTATGACTCAGGTGCCTGACGGTGACGGGGGACAAGGTGGCCACGGTGGAGGTGGGCCGGGACCTGGGTCCACTCAACGCCTTTGTCACGGTCACCAGGCGTGCAGTCCAGCCAGTTCCGGGGAAAGAAGGCGGGGACATAAAATGAAGCCAGGCCCAGGACGTCTGGGAGCTGCTTCCATGGTGACAACAACAACAAAAAAAGCAGACAAGATTGGATTTCGATTTGGGGGTGGGGTGGGGTGGGGAGGCCACATACTTTTGGAGGCAGGGGTAGTCGGACGCGTTCCGGAGCCCCTCCGGGGGAAGCTGCCAGTTTTGGATGGAGTCCTTGACCAAGACGAACCCCGAGACCATGATGAAGCCCAGGACCAGCACGTTGACGCAGGTGAACACCTTGTTGACCATGGCCGACTCCTTCACCCCGAAAGTCAGGAGACCTGGAGAGGCGGGCAGGGAGGACAGGGTCGGACGCGTCAGTCACCGAAGCCCCGCTGGGTCCTGTGCCCTCTTGCAGGCAATCCCACGGTGGGTCAAGAGTCTGTCTCGTCTAGGGGCTTGCTCTGACCCTCCGCCCTCGCCGAGCAAGAGGCCCTCACCCGGGACGTGCCGGGAGGGGCCGTCGGGTCAGTTCTGGCTCAAAGTGACCTGTGCACAGCACAAACCCCTGCCCGGTGCTGCGGCCGCCCTCACGGCAGTTGTCTGTGGAGCCCAGAGTTGCAGCCACGGGACGACTGTCCATCCCATCGAGGGCCTGCCCGTCTCTCGCTGCCCCTCTGCTTGCTTGACCAGGCATGAAGGACATTGCTCTCTGTAACAGGCCCCATGAGCTTCAGACAGCACCGCCCCAACAAGCGTCCCCGTGTCCCCTGTTGCTTGCCGACAGATCCTCCCGTGCACCCCAAAGGCTACATCACCCCTGCCTCCTTCAGACTCGCCCATCGGGACGCCACATGATGCCCTGCGGACTCGAGTCACCAGACTCCACCCCCAGGGTTGATCTACTCAACCACCCTTGTGCCGGGTACCGGGCTTCCACATAAGGCCCGTCATGTGACACCCATGCCCCAGTCCCTCTTCCTTCCTATCGGCTCTGAGGGCTGTTCTCTTGGGATAACATGTCTAAAACACACGAGCCGAAGCCTCACGACCCCAGCCTCTGGGGAGGGAGCATGCTGGGACCAGGTTCCCTGAACCGACAAACCACAGCGG